TTGACATAAAACATGAAGAATTTGTCTTTTTGAGTCTGCTTGTTCACTAACATGATAATTTCCAGTGGCATCCACATTCCTGAAAATGTCATGATTTCATCTTCCTTTTTAAATGTATTGTTATTGTTATATTACTAATTATATACTAATGTGTGTGTATGATGTATACACATGAGTTTGGGAGTGTGTGTGCCAGGTTGCACAATGCTTTGTGCATACGTGGGGGCTGGAAGACAACTTTTGGGAGTTGTTTCTCGCCTTCCATCATGTGCTCTAGGGTTAGAACTTAGGTTTTCAGGCCTTGGAGGCGAACATTTTACCCGTTAAGCCATCTTACCAGCTGTGTGTGTGCCTGTGCACAGATGTACACACAGATGTGGGGGCCGGAGGATCTCCTCTTTAGTAGCTCTGTGATAGGCTGTCTTCTTTCACTGAACCTGAAGCCAGATTGGCCAATGAGCTTCGAGGCCTCGCCTGTCTGCTCCCCCCGGGCTATGTCTGAAATGCATGGCTCCTGGCGTTTTACAAGGGTGCTAAGATCCAAACTCGGATCACTATGCTAAGTGCTCTTACTCCAAGGAGTGCTTACAAGATATTAAATGAGCGAGTGTATATGGCAGGTGTAGCTGCTGCTATTATTGCTGTTGTTGAAGATGCTCCCTCTGCGTTTGCTGAAGATATAAGCGATGGAAGAAGGAACCTAGAGATGCAGGGTGTAGAGTATATTCAGAGAATACTGAGTAATCCCATCTGTCAGAACAGTAATATCCTTATGGGTGCATGTTGAGAAGTTTTTAATGTCACAATAAAGAGTGTGTATCTTGTTTGGTAAGCAATAAGAAACAATGACAGAATTTGTCAGTAGTTGGAAGAAAGGGCCAAAGAAAGAGAAGATAAACTGGGAGAGAAGGCACGTGCAAGATGAGGAGAGGGTTACAGGTGGTGTTTCCGAATGTGGAGGGGGGTGTCAGAAGAGACCATGACAGAGACATATGGAAGGATGGGTACAGGGAGAAGAAGGGCTTAAGAAGGAAGTACCTTGGCTATGTAGAGGATGGAATCTGGGGTCAGGTGAGGGTAAAGAAGTAATGGGGATATTCTGGGAATCGGGGGAGATAAAAGGTGATGGAGACAAGTGAGGTTTCTGGGGACAGGTAAGGAGCCTGTGGGCAAGTGAACTGCATAGATGAGTTAAGAAGCCCCGGTAGCTCTTACAGGATCATCTGAGAGTGCTCAGACTGGGTCTCGGGGCGGGGGGGGGGGGGGGGGGGGGGGGGGGGGGGGGGGGGGGGGGGGGGGGGGGGGGCAGAGTGGAACGTGATGTCAGAAAAATGGCAGTGATGTAAGGGCTGGGCGGTGGGGCGGTGATGTCAGGGCTGGTGCTGATGCTGGCGGCGCAGTGCATTGTGGGCAGCTCCCCACTCCGCTGCTACTGCTGCTGCTGCTGCTGCTGCTGCCGCTGCCGCCCGCCGCCCGCCGCCACCGTCGCCCGAGAAGGATCGGGGCCGGGCCGGGCCGGGATGGTTGGGGTCGGGAGGCCGCCGCCGCCGCGGGAGAGAGTGGGTCGCCCAGCGCCGCACTGAGCCGCCCCCGCCCCGCCCCGGCCCCGGGGGATGCGCCGCCCCGTGCCGCTGTCTTCACCGCCGCAGCCGCAGCCGCAGCCGCAGCGGACACCGAGCAGGTGAGGTGGGGCGGGGCCGGGCAGGCGGGCTGGGGTCCCTTCTGGGGTTCATCGGGCCTCCCGCCGGGCTCACCTCCATGGCTCGGCTACCATCCAGCAGCGGTCTTCGCCACCGCCGCCAGGAGATGGGACGCTGGCCTACACTCCCTGGGCCGCAGCCTGAGGCCTGGAGCCGCTCCCTGCCCCCGCACAGACCCACCCTCCCCAGCCCATCCTTCTTGCCTCCCCCACAACCCCTCCCCCAGCCCTCGTCCTTATGATTTCCCTCCTCAGTCTTCTGTCAGCTCTGACAGGTCACCCAGCTGTCTCTAGACCCTTACTCCCATCCTCAGTTCCTCCCTTCCACCCACCAGCCTCCCTTTTCTTTCTCCATCTGTGCCCAGAAGTCCCTCCCGTGGTCCTGTCGCTCCATCACTCCGTCCCTGCCACCATGATCTCCGTCTCTTGTCTACCTACCCCCTCCCCTCATCCTGTCACTCCACTCCGACAGGCCCTGTTCCCTGCACTCTCCTCCTCTCCTCTTTCCTCCTCTTCCCATTGCTCCTCATGGCTTTGCCTCTCCTGTCCTGGCCTCTAAGATTCCTCACACCTTGCATAGCCACACATCAACTCTTCTGTTTCCAAACCACAATATACTTCTAAACACTTACCTGTCTCTGTCTCTGTCTCTGTCTCTCTCTCTCTCTGTCTCTGTCTCTCTCTTTCTCCTTACAACACATTCTCATGCATACACACAGGCATGCCTACACACACACACACACACACACACACACAAAGGGGCCTCAGAGGACAGTAACCAAGCAGCCAAGCTTGTCAACCCAGTCTGGGATAACTTAGGTCCACGGAGGCATCCACTGGGAAGGGTGGTGGATAGGGTGGTCAGGTCTTTTCCCCTCAACCAATTCCAATTTTCCCAAGTATCAAGTGTAAGCCGCAGACAGATTGTCCTCATCCACCTGCAGAGACCACCAGACAGGACCGAGATCCCTCCAACTCTTCAACTTTTTAAAATTATTATTTTTTCTTCAGTACTGGGAACTGAATGTAGGACCTTGTGCTGATTGAGCTATATCGAGATATCTCAAATGCTGACTGAGATACATCAAGATCTCTCAACCCTCCTTTGGAGTCCTTTTATTCACTTTGTGTGTGGAAGGTGTATGCATGCCACCGTGCACACGTGGGCGTCAGAGGACAAGTTGCAGGGGTCTGGTTCCCTCTTTTCAACACACGGCTATCAGGAATCAAACTCAAGCTATCAGATTAGACGGTGAGGGTCTTTTTCCACAGGACTGCCTTGGCAGGTCCCAGCCCCTTTTTATTAAAAAGTACATTTTTGGTGGTGTTGGGAGTTGAAGCTGGTGCCTTGACCATATTGGACATGTACTCAAACACTCAGTTTCCTCCCCAGCCTGAATTTAACTTTTTCCCTTTCCCCTGTGCTGGGGCTGGGGCTGGGACCCATAGCTTCCTCCACACAAGGATTAAGCTGCAGCCCAGTTCCAGCAGAGGCCTCCTCCACACAAGTTTGATTGCTTCTCCAGTCTCTTTTGCTTAGTTTTGGTTCTGTTTTGTTTTCTTGTTTTCAGCCAGGGTATCTTGTAGCCCAGGTTGGCCTTGAACTTGCTGTGTAGCCAAGATTAGTCTTGAAATCCCTCATCCTCCTGCCCCCTCCCAAGAGTACTGGGGTCACAGGTGCATGGTACCATGCTCAGCTGCCCCAGTCTGGTCTCTACCTATATTCCAGAACCCCATTCCAGTTCCTCTCGTCTTGTCATTGTCCTTCCTGCCTTGCAAACTCTTGGTAGCCCATAGCCCTGGCGTTGTGTGGATTGGGGAAAACAATTCAGCTCAGATGTTTCAAAGAAAGATAAAAGGGAGTGGCAATGTTTTTCCCCACGGAGATTGTTTCTCTTCATGTCCCTGGTGGAGCACTGTGACCTGAAGATGTCTCAGGTCCCTTCCAGCCCACCCTGCCCTTGTTAGGGTGTCTAGACGCAGGACCTGAGAAGTTAGCCATCTCAAGGAGTTTCGGGTCCATGAGATAATTATAATGTCATTTCCCCCCATTTACAAAGAAGTTAGCCACAATTAGTAACTTTGGTGTTCCAGCCCATTTACAAAGAACTTAGCCCCTTCCAGCCTCTCCCGTGCCCAGTCCCCAGCCTGAATGATTTCCTTCACTCCTGTGTGTGGCTCTCCAGGGTCATGGTTAGAGTGTGGCACAGAACACATAGAGTATCTGTTGATGAAAGATGAGATGGTTCCCAGTTCTGGGCTGGCTTGGAAGAAATACCAGAAAGTCACCTTTGCTGGTCCCTTCTCTACACATGTGCACACAAAGCAAGAATCCACTCATACAGAGGGGTCCATGAACACAGCACACACATCTTTGGATAACTTGTGTCTTAGTCCTCTGTCGCTTGGGATACTGTCTCCCATGTCAACTTTTATCCACTTAAGCACAGCAGAAGCTGCCTTCCTCCTGGCTGACTCCACATAGATGTGAAAATGGACTTGCTCATCCCCGCCTTCCCAGACCTGTGATTCTCTGTCACCCTGCCTCCCCTCAGACAGCACCCACTACTCTGCTCGCCCCCAGTTCAGTCTGCCTTGGCCCCTGTGGAGCGGACACTGGGATACCATTCCTCTGAAGTCCATAGCTCGAGTCCATGGTCTTGTGGTCACTGTTGGCACATATCCTGGCCAGCGGGGTCAGCCTCCACTCGCTACAATCCATCTGCCTTCATGCCACCCTTAAGGTCCTCATTTTTCTTGATGGTCACATCTCTCTGGTTGGCTGGCCGGCCACTCTGATGAGGGTATCTCATGGCTTACCCGTAGGTCTTTCCGTTCAGCCAACCAGCAAAGCACAGCTCCTCAGGAGTTTTGTGACACTGTCTAGGTGTAGATGCTTGGGACCACAGGTAGAATGAGTGACTCAGGCTTGTCATTCTTGGGTCTCAGCCTAGGATGCCCACTGGCTAGCACATCTTCCCCTCATTAGTTTGGAATGTCTCTATGGTAAACCCATGGCTTGGTCACACATCACTGCCCTCTCCTGTTTTCATCTTGTGTGTCCTGTTGCTGATTTTCACACCTCCCTTCCCCTGACCTCCATCATATCTCCCCCAGCATCAGCTCCCCCCCGCACACAATCCGGCTTGGGAAGGATGCCTGCCAGCAGGATGGGGGTTCTTTCCATAGCTGTCAGGTGGTCTAGGGGGTCCGCCAGGCTGTTTACTGCCCTTCCTCACTCTCCCAGGTAGATGGCCCCCCAAGGGCAGGCCCTGCGGACACCCCTCCCTCCGGCTGGCGGATGCAGTGCCTAGCGGCTGCTCTTAAGGACGAAACCAACATGAGTGGGGGAGGGGAGCAGGCCGACATCCTGCCGGCCAACTACGTGGTCAAAGATCGCTGGAAGGTGGTGAGTGACCTAGCAGAGGGAGGGGTCTGGGAAAGGAGAAGCAGAGATCTGGAGACTTCCCAAGACTGGTGCCCTTGGAGCCCTTACCCTAAGTGGGAGGTGTCCTCGATCTCCTTTGCATACTGATCAAATGTTATTTTTTGTCCACACATTCTCCCAGTATCCTCTCTCCAACCCGGCTCCCTCTCACCCCTTCCTCGTGTTGGTCCAGCCTAGCCTGAACAACTCCTGGTTGGATGCCTAGGTGTGAGCTGCAGAGCCCGTGGTGCGGAGGAGGATGGTGGGGGAGGGGGCTCCTTCTCTGCCGCACCTTGGGGAAGGACATTGAGTGAGCATGTGTTCCTTTGCTTTCGCAGAGGACGGAAAGGCTTGGTTCTGAGGAAAGAGGCCCTTTAGGCTGCTCCCTCCGCATCCGCACTCCCTCTTCTCCATCCACCCTCCTCCCTTGCCGGGTTCCTGCGGCAGGTGCAGCACGCCGAGACTCCATCTCCCAGCGTGCCCTGTTCCTCCAACCCAGGACTTCAGGCTCCTGGGCCTGCTGGGAGTTGTAGTCCGCGTTTCTTTGTCGGGGGAGAATGATATCCTGGGTGGGAGGGGGCTATGTAAGGGTTGGAGCAGTGGTTGTGTCTAGGGAACCAGACCTACTGCCAGTCAGCCTCGACCAAATCCTTTTTTCTCCATCGCTGTAAAGCACCCTGGTGTCCTCTTTATTGTAGGGCGGGGTGATGTAGGATGGTATAGTGTGGGAAAAGTGTGTGCGGGTACGTGGGGTCTGCGCGGAAATGGGGATCCAGAGGGGAAGAAAGAACCATAGAGGTCAGATGTGTTTCACTGTATAGAGTTGTGTTCGTGTGTGCGCGTCCCTGGGCTCTGGTGTGGTGAAGCTCAGCTTGCTCACTAGGGCTGCTGGGTTGGAGAGGAGGGTGGGGTCTGGGTGCCGGTGGATCTCCATGGTAACAGTCACCCGGCCGCGCAGGTCCTCAGAGGTCCAAGGAGAGCATTTTCAGGAATTGGGAGTTGGGGTGTTAGGGAGGAGATTCTTAGGGCCCCGAAGGGGGATTCCTGAGAGGGAGAGTAACTGGAGGAGCCAGGGCAACCGTAAAAGGAAGGGGTGTTTGGCAAAGTGAGGAGCACCCCTTCAAGACCCCCGGGTCCCTGGCACATGGACTTGGTGTCTGGCAGATGGCAGACTGAATAACATTTGTACTGAAAAGGCTAGAAAAAGACTGTTCACACACAGAGTTTAGACTAAAGACCTTGTTGTGCTCTATGAAGGATGGAAGTGTACGGGGAGAGAGGAGACAGAGGGAGGGGGAGGGGCCATGGAGGGGGCAAGTACGCCAGACCTGGACTGTCCTTCTGTTCCTTCCCAGGAGAGCTGGAGAGACCCGGGAGGGGTGGGGCTGATGTGGGAATGAGGGAACCGGGAATCATGGATCAGAGATGGACTGCAACCCGGAGAAATGGGGGGGGGTGTCAGTGATTAGGATCACTGTAAGTTGTAAATAAATTTCTTTTCCCTAAAAAAACAAAAGATAAAATGAGCAAATTGTTCTCTAGGGGTGATCCTTGCAAGCCACATAACAAACAGCAGAAATAAAAGTCTTAGTGTTTGTTCTGTGCCTTTTAAAAAATAATTTATTTTATGTGCATTGATGTTTTGCCTGCATGTGTGTCTGTGTGAGGGTGTCAGATCTTGGAGCTACAGACAGTTGTGAGCTGTCATGTGGGTGCTGAGTATTTAACCCAGGTCCTCTGGAAGGACAGCCAAGTCCCCTTACCCCTGAGCCATCTCTCCAGCCTCTCTGGACACTTCTCATCCTCAGAGGCTGTGAAGATGTCCTCTGTAGGTTATCTCGGGCACTGATGGAGTAGATACAGCAATTACCAGCACGCCTGTTTCATAGATGTGATTAGCTAACTTGCCAAGTTCTGCGATCAGAAGGCAGGCTGAGGTCTGTCTGCTGGTGCAACGCAGTCAGCAAAACTCAGCCCATGCAAGAACTGGAGTCCAGGGGCTGAAAAGGTCTTTGTGGTTTGTTTCAATTCGACTCTCTCTTATTGAGGGAAAAAGAAGAGGCCCAAATAGTTTTTGAAATTGAGATGACTTTAGTTGCCCAGAGTGGAGGCAAGAAAAGGGTGTCCATCCCAAATAAACCGAGGCTCCATTGGGCTGGGCTTCTTCTCTGCTTTGGGGGGGGGGTCCTTTGATGTGGTGGGATCATTAGAACATACAGAAGAGGAGAAATGGCCTGAAAGGGTCCAAAGGGGAATCTCTCAAGGGTCTGCCTCGTGGAGTTCATCGGCCTAGGTGCTTTCGGCTCATGACACCTTCTTACTACCTTAGGGTAGTAAGCATAGCATCTTATGGCTTCATTGTTATAGAAAGTAATACATTCATATTCTAGACCGAGTTTTCCTCTGTGGTTCTAAAGTAAATTTATGTTTTGATTGTGAGCCTAGCCATTAATGGCTAAGCCATCTCTCCAGCCCCACTGTATCTTTTGATGAATAAGCATGCCGTCATTACGGAGCAGGAGGAAAGGATACTGGATGGATGGGTGCCACAACTAGACCCCTGCCCTAGGGATGGGTGGCAAATCAGGAAAGAAATGGGCTTAGTTTGAGGAAAAGGCCAATAAAGAAGCCGGGACCCTGGGAAACTGGGGAGTAGGTGTTAGGTATGGTCCCACCATCAGGGATTCTGGGGGCTTCAACATCAGCTCCCGCACTTGGCAGTGCCAAGCGGCTCATGTCCTGGAACCTTAAAGGTTCTACACTCACAGGTTCTGTCTCCAGTTGATGGAGTTTAGAGAAAATGCAGGCCCGTTATTTACAGCCAAGGCATTACAGGTCCTGGGCCCTGTGGCTTTCCCGTGTGCACCGTGGGGAGTCAGATGGTCCTCACATGTGTTGTGGAGCCTGGGAAACTGTGCCTGTGAGCCCTGTCTTACCTACCCTGCCGTCTGTGCTTACACACAGCGTGCTGTGAAAGGGTGTGGACAGGTTACTGGCTCCCAAGGTTAGCGCTCCCCTGGGCCGTCCCCACCGGGTTGTTAGGCTTCTGTTGTCCGGTAGTGTCTGTCAGAGTAGGACAGTTTTGCTTCTTTCTCCTCCTTTCCCTTCCTCTTTCCTTGTTTCCTACCCTGGCTCAAGAAACTTCTCCCTTCCTCATAGCTTTGGCTCCTCTTCCGTCTTTTACTGTTATTATTTTCTTTTTATATTTATTGATGTGCGGTGTGGCTCTGTGTGCCAAGATGTGTGTGTAGAAGTCAGAGGACAGCTTGAGGCCATTGGCTCGCTCCTTTTATGTGGGTCTTGGGGATCAAACTCAGGATGTCAGATTTGGCAGGAAGCACCTACCCTTGTGTCTCTCCCTCTCTCTTTTCCTCCCTCCCCTTCTTTGGAGACAGGGCCTCAGATATCCCAGGCTAGCCCTACTATGTAGCACAGGCTGGTACTGAGCCTTTACTTCCTTCCCCAGTGTGCACCACCAGGCCTGGTGGATGTGGTACTAGGGATCTAGCCTGGGGCTTCATGCATGCTAAGCAGGCACTGTCCTAACTGATCTACACCCCTGGCCCCACTCTCCTTTTAGAGAAGAGATGTGGGACGAGCCACAATCTCTAAAACTCTGTACCATCAGGGCTGTTTCATGTCTGCCTGAAGCCACATGCCTCTTCTCTTCTGCTCCTATTCAGATACCTGTCTGGTCCTGTGTGTGTGAGTGTGTGTGAATGTGTGTGAGAGAGTATGTGTATGTGAGTGAGTGTGTATGAGTGTGTGTGTGAGAGTGTGTGTATGTGAATGTGTGTATGTGAAATGTGAGTTTTTGTGTGTATGTGTGTGTGAGTGAATGTGTGTATGGTGTGTATGTGAGTATGTGTATGTGAATGTGTGAGAGTATATGTGTGTGAATGTGTGTGAGTGTGTGTATGTGAATGTGTGAGAGTATATGTGTGTGAATGTGTGTGAGTGTGTGTGTATGTGTGTGTGAGTGAGTGTGTGTATGTGAATGTGTGTGAGTATATGTGTGTGAGTGTGTGTATGTGTGTGTGAGTGAGTTTGTGTTGGAAGAGATCTATACTCATGGGCTGAGCTGTCTGTCTCAGAGGAGAGGAGGTGTGGGCACTGACTGGGTGGGGCAGGTGGTTCTTCCCTTCAAGAATGCATCCACCCATCAGTGGAGAATATGACCAGCAGAAGTGGGTTAAGGAACTGTCCAGCTTGATCCCTGAGCACAGTTCTTTCCCTCATCCACAGCTGAAAAAGATCGGGGGTGGGGGCTTTGGTGAGATCTACGAGGCCATGGATCTGCTGACAAGGGAGAATGTGGCCCTCAAGGTGGAATCAGCCCAGCAGCCTAAGCAGGTTCTCAAGATGGAGGTGGCTGTGCTCAAAAAGCTTCAAGGTACCACTCTGGGGCTGGGGCATGGGAAGGAAGGAGGTGATGGAGCCAGGATCTAAGAAAATGGGGCCAGAGCTTAGGAGAGGGATGGAGAGCAATGAGGGAGTCTGTGGGGCCAACTGAGGCGGGTCATGGCTTACAGACAACAGTGGGGCCAGAGAAGGCAGAACTAGGGTGGGGGTTGTAGGCCCTTAAAGAGGCGTTCCTGGAACCAGGGCTGGGGAAGGATTCAAGAGTGTTCCAGAGGGATGGCTAAGTGGCTCCAAGGTTAAAACGCTTCAGATTCTCGTAACCCTCATAAGAGCTAGGTGGGCACAAATAGTGTGTGTGTGTGTGTGTGTGTGTGTGTGTGTGTGTGTGTGTGTGTGTGTGTGAGGTGGGGCACGCCAGAGCCTGTCTGTGGCTGATGAGGAGGAAGGAATGGGACTTGGGAGGCCCTGTTTCTGTGCCCTGCAGGGAAGGACCACGTGTGCAGGTTCATTGGCTGTGGCCGGAACGAGAAGTTTAACTACGTGGTGATGCAGCTGCAGGTATGTCCCTACCTACCTCTTTCCCCAGAGCTAGCGTGTGACTTGGGCGGAGCATGGGGAAGGGAGGTTTCTGTTCCTGATGCAATGGGTAGAGGTAGGCATAACCCTTTGGGGGCAAGGCTGGGTGGCCGTCACAGTGGCAGCTGGAAAGTTCCCCTCCTATCTCATCTTGTCCATCTCGCCCACCCCACCCAGGGTCGGAACCTGGCTGACCTGCGTCGCAGCCAGCCGAGGGGTACTTTCACGCTAAGCACTACACTGCGGCTGGGCAAGCAGATCCTGGAGTCCATCGAAGCCATTCACTCCGTGGGCTTCCTGCACCGGGACATCAAGCCGGTGAGCGATGCGCCTGAGCCCTCCAGTGCCGGAGCCTGGCTGCTCCGCTCCAGTGCCGGAGCCTCTTGTACTTGAGCATTTCTAGATCTACACCGAACCCCATCTCCTCTTTCTCACCTTTCGGCCATGCCAGGCCTAGTGCCCGGCTCTCATCTCTGCCCTCCATTCTGCATCTCTCACCCTCGACCCCGTGTAGTCCCTCAGTCTAGAGGTGAGGAGGTCAGGAGAGGCCACCTGACTTTCTGTGGCATCTTGGATCTTGGTGCTAGAAAAATAAAGTACAGTCCTCTAACCTAAAGGGGTAAAGCTGGGTGAACGGCCTAAGAGCACGTGGCAAGAAAAGGCACAGGGCAGCTGATTTTGAGCCAGGCAGCCATACCAAACCCCTCTGCCCCTGTAGGGAGCTGAGGGTTTGGAGCAGGGTGGACCGGCACTCAAAGCCTGTTTTCACCAGTTCTGATTGAGGGGGCATCTCACCCCCTCAGCCTTTGACCCTCCCTTCCTGTGTTTCTAAATTGAGGATAGCCATACCTGCTCTATTGCTGAGATGCGCAGCCGTCCTCCTATGAATGTGGGTGGATGTAAGATCCATGGGTGGGGGGCCCGTCAATGCTGGCACAGCAGTGTCTTAGTGGGTCTGGGGGTGCTGGACCCCAGTTCACAGCTGCTATCTTCCCACAGTCCAACTTTGCCATGGGCCGGCTGCCTTCCACCTACAGAAAGTGCTACATGTTGGACTTTGGTCTGGCCCGGCAGTACACTAACACTACAGGGGACGTCCGGCCCGTGAGTACCACTAGGCATGAGAATGGTGGGGGCTCTAAGGATTCTCTGGTCTGGGAACACTTCACCGTTTTCCTTGTGGCTGCCTAAGCAGGCTTGGGTTCTTTTCAGTTATCAGTACATCCCACCCTGGGATGACAGCCTGGGCTCCTGGGTATCGGGATGAAGTGGGCAGTTAGTCTTGGTGGTGGGAGGGTTGACAGTGTGGCCTGAGCTGTTGTCTCTTTTGCGCAGCCTCGGAATGTGGCCGGGTTCCGGGGGACTGTTCGCTATGCCTCGGTCAATGCCCACAAGAACCGGGTGAGTGAGCAGCCTAGCCTGAGTTAAGGACTAAGGGCTGCAGGACAAAGTTGGGTATGAAGTGGGCCGTGGATGTCGAGGTGGGGAGAAAAGAAAGGGGTGTGGGCTGTAGCCAGTCAGCCCCTGAAACTTGGAGTGGGAGGCAAGTGTCACCGCTGGCTTCCCGTGATGTCCTTCTCTTCTGGGCTCTCATCATTTCTCTTCCCACTGAAAATCCCTGGTAAATGGACAGAACAGGCACAGAACCATTTATTGTGGTGTCTGCGTGCTGAGGTATAGGACGAGCCACAGTCAGAGAGATCCCAGCTTTGTCTGTCTGGGTCCAGGTGTCAGACGTCCCCAGAAAAGGGTCCACTACCCCTTCTCAGAGGAGGGCGTGAGAACTGCAGGTAACGCTCTCCATACCTCTCAGGAGATGGGCCGCCACGATGACCTGTGGTCCCTCTTCTACATGTTGGTGGAGTTTGCAGTGGGCCAGCTACCTTGGAGGAAGATCAAGGACAAGGTGAGGCTCCTGCTGCTGGGTGGAAGAGGCAGAGGGTAAAACAGCTGGGCCTCACCTGCTGTGTCTGTGTCCGCACCCCTCCAGGAGCAGGTGGGGATGATCAAGGAGAAGTACGAACACCGGATGCTGCTGAAGCACATGCCCTCGGAGTTCCATCTCTTTCTGGACCACATCGCCAGCCTTGACTACTTCACCAAGCCTGATTACCAGGTACCCCCAGCCTGGGGCACAACTGAGAAGCTTCTGGCTCCCAGCAGTGATGCCCCCTTGTAGCCTGGCATAATTCAAGATTGCCCCTGTGTCTGTCCCCTTGATCTACCTGCATCAAACTGTTTAAAGCAGTCTCTGCTCAGCCTTTTCAAGAGTCGACCCTCCCCAGTATACGTAGTGTTCTTGTGTTATCACAGTCAAGCATCTGAGGCAGGGGCATGGTCATACACACCTTTAATTCTAGCACTTGGGGCAGGGGGCAGATGTCTTTGTGAGTTTGAGGACAGGCCAGCTGGGTGACATAATGAGACCCTGGGAGGGGAGTGACCATCATGTGTTTGACAGCAGAACTCTGCGGGAAGCTAACTGGGATGATTGTTCATAGATGGGAAACTGAGGGTAGATAGACCTCGTGGTTAAGAGAAGGGCTGGGCTCAGAGACAGTGATGCATCCCTTGTTGACAGGGTACAGACCATCCTTAAAATGTCCCTGAATGCCATGTAAGAGTTCACTTCCCAAACCTGGACAGGACCTCCCCTTCATACCCCTGGTCCTACAGCATGGCAAACAAGATGAGATTAAGTAAAACTCAAGAGAAAAATGACCCAAGTAAGAGACCAGTAAACACGAGCCTCCCAAGCTGTAGCAGATTACAGTGCTGGTGTTTTTGAGACAAGGTCTCATGTAGACCAGCTGTCCGCAAACTCACTGTGTAGCTGAAGATGACCTTGAACTTCTGACCCTCCTGCCTCCACCTCCCAGATGCTGGGATTTAGGACGCGTGCCACCGTGCCCAGTGCTGTGCTGTGCCTGAGACTGAACCCAGGGCTTCCTGCATGGCAAACACGCAGACATTCTACCAACATAGCCGCATAACCAACCTCAGTCAACTTTTTTTTTTTTTAAGTAGAGGGTGTATGTTCTAAAATAGTGATTTAAAAACTAGTGTTGCCAGGTGTGGTGATACTCAGCTATAGTCCCAGAACCCATGAGATAGAAGCAGGAGAATCATGAATTTGAGGTCAGCCTGGGCTGCACAGGGAGACCCTGTCTCAGTAACAACAGGGCTAGGAAAACGCTGCGTTGGTCAACAGCGCTTGCTGATCCTGCAGAGGACCCGAGTTCAGTTCCCAGCACCATGTCAGGAGTTTCACAACTACATACAAGCCAGCTCCAGGGAAGCTGACAGCATCTTCTGGCCCACGGCACCTGCATTCATATGTATACCCCCCACACACATATACACATAATTAAAAAAAATAAACACACAACCCAAAGTCAAGCACATAGTGTTATGTACTATACATAATTGTGTGTCACGTTGTGTATGTGACTGAGGGTGCCAGCATCACTGCACCCTGGAGTACGCTGTAGCACAGTCACAATGACTGTGACATGACCAGGTGGTACATCACGCCACCACCCTCATCGACATCCCTGTTGGGAGGGATGCTTGCCTGACTCCAGGTCTAACCCTCCCCACAGCTCCGTCACTACACCTCATGGCACCTGTCGCTCTGTTTGGAGACTGTAGACACACATCATCGGTGTTTACCCAGAAACCGCTGTGCATGAGGCACAGTGGTGCCCACTGCAGGGACTCGGTCTCCTTCACGCAGTAGACACCAAAGCAAGTCTGGCTCTGAAGAGAGCCAGCCCAACCTTAAATGGCCTGGGCTGCTCAGAGGTTTTGTAGCCACTTGCTACCTCTTGAACCCAGCATCCCAGTTGCTGGTGAGCTGACATCCCACTTCTTGCCCTGGCTTGGCCTCATTGAGTCCCTTGGTCCACACAGTTACACACACCTACATACTAAAGCCCCGTGATGACTGCCAGAGGTGAAGAATGGGCAGAGAAGCATGGAAATAATGCAGAAGGAAGGTTCTGTGCCCAGTGATGAGGGGGAGCTGTATGGGAGGGTGAGGCAGGTGTCAGGGAGGAGGGTGGGAAAGGCACCCCATCAGAGGCAGCAGCCTGCAGAGAGGCCTAAGACCATGAGGGAACCCAGTGGTTCAGGGCCATTGATGTGCCTGTTAAGATGACAGGAATGGCGGAAGAGTCTGGAGACTGTCCTCAGGGGACTAGTGTCCATCTGGTGGGCTTCATCCAAGATGCTCATTTGCATAGGGCTTTGTGCTTTGTTTTCCTTTGAAACCCATGTGCCCTTCTCCTTCCAGTGCCCCCCGAGGCCCGTCTCTGAGCCGGAAGTCCCCATCTTCCCCCCACTGCTATCCCAGCCATTGCCCCTTTCACCTGGCTAGCCCCGGGGTCACCTCTCTGTCCTCCTGCCACCCCCACCCCTGCAGTTGATCATGTCGGTGTTTGAGAACAGCATGAAGGAACGGGGCATTGCTGAGAATGAGGCCTTTGACTGGGAGAAGGCAGGCACTGATACCCTCCTGTCCACAAGCACCTCCACCCCACCCCAGCAGAACACCCGGCAGACAGCAGCCATGTTCGGGTGAGTCTGAGCGGGGGCATCACGGTGCGTGGGGCGGTCACCCAGGAGGCCAGCCCCTCTCATCCTCCTTGGACCCTGGTTGTGTCTTCATGTTGGGTTCTTGAGCTATCCCGTCACGGTCTGCGCTGAATCTGAGCTGGAGTGGGTATCTTCTTGGAGCTTTTTTGTTGTTTATTTTCAAGACAGGGTTTCTCTGCAGCCTTGGCTAGCCTGGGACTCGCCCTGTAGACCAGGCTGACCTCAAACTCACAGAGATCCGCTTGTGTCTGCCTCCCAAGTGCTGGGATTAAAGGTGTGCGCCACCACCGCCCGGCTCATTTAGATCTTTTGACTAAGGAAGAGATCCTGGGTGAAGCGACTTGAGCCGCAGCCTCCCTTCCTCATTGTAGACGACGAACTTGTATATCTCACATCCAGACGCCACGGGGCTCAGAGGGACAATGACCCCTGTCTTCATAGGGCCTCGGCCAATGCTGGGAGGTGGCCAGTGATTTCAGAACCGTGTGAGGCACATGGAAGGGTGTCTGGGGGAGAATCCTGACTAAAGGGTCCCACCTCTACCAGTCAGGGTTCCCTAGGGAAACAAAACTTATAGAATGAATATATTTATTAAGATGGCTTATAGGCTGTGATCCAGTTAGTCCAACAACGGCTGTCTATCAATGTCCAGGAATTGGTAGTTATTCAGTCCATGAGGCTGGATGTCTCTGCTGGTCTTCAGTATACACTGAAGTAGGCTCTAAGGCCAGTGAAAGAATGGACTTGCCAGTGACAGCAAGAACAAGCAGGCAAAGGAGAGCAAGTTTCTGTCCTCCGTGTCCTTTATAAGGCTAAAGGCAGAAGGCATGGCTCAGATTAAAGGTGGATTTCTGACTTCGAAAGGTCTGGATTCAAGGTGGATCTTCTCACCTTAAAGATAGATCCAGGTTAGAAGTGGGTCTTCCCACTTCACACGATTTAAGAACACTCCCTCACAGGTGTGCCTGGCCGTTTAGGTTTTAGTTAAATGCAGACGTGGTCAAGTCGACAGACAGCCAAGACTGGCCGTCGCAACACCTAATCCAGGGCCGCCTTTGGGAGGAAGATGTCACAGAAATTGCTGGCACACCACAGTGGCCCAGTTCTGTACTAAGGTTACTCGGAGAAGTGGGGCATGAGGGTACATATCTAATTGCAGGATGAGGCAGGAGTATTATGAGTTTGAGACTAGCTTGGGCTACACAGGGAGACTTTGTTTTAAAAACAGAAAGAAGAGACTGGGGATGTGGCTCAGTGGATAAATCACCTGCAGGCCAAGTGTGAGGACCTGAGGTAGGGCCCACAGCACCCACAGAAAGGAGACACAGTACTGCACCTCTGGAATCTATGTGTCCCTGTGGCGAGACAGAAACCCCTGAGTGTAGGGACAGAAACCCCTGAACTTGCAGCTCAGCTAACCTGATGCACATGAGAACCTTACCTCAGTGGACCCGGGGGTCAGCCGGCCAGTCAGTCCAGCTGAAATGGCGAGTTCCAGGTCCATTAAGAGACCCTGTCTCAAAACACAGGGTGAGGGCTAGGTGGGGTGGCACACACCTTTGATCCCAGTACTCAGGTGGCAGAGGCAGGCAGATCTCTGGGAATTTGAGACCAGCCTGGTTTACATAGCAAGTTCCAGACCAGGCAGGATGACATAGTAAGACACTCTCTCAAAAAAACAAAGAAATGAACAAAAACAAAAAACAAGGTGAAGAACCTTAGAGGAAGACATTCCCACACCAACCCTTGGGCTCCACATGCATGTGCACAGGTGAACACACACACACACACGCCACAGCTGCGTCTCAAGGTGGAAGGAGAGCCAGCCACTAAGGTTGTCATCCAACCACCACATTCATTCGGTATCATGTACTCTTGTGTACACACAGAGATAAAAATAAACAACAAAAATAGAAAATGAAATGTATTAAGGAGCTGAAACATGAAACTTAAGAGAGGGCTCGGCAGTTAAAAACACTGGCCACTCTTGCAGAGGACCTGGGTTAGATTCCCAGCATACACATGGTGGTTCACAGTTGTCTGTAACTCCAGACCAGGGGATCCAGCGCTCTCTAATGTCTTTCTCAGGCACTGCACACACATGGTGTATATACATACATGCAGGCAAAACACTCATACGTATAAAAGTAAATGCATCTTTTTAAAAAGATCTCTGGATAAGGAGTATATAGGGTCTTTTCAGACTTCTCTGGGGTCTGGAAGGAGCGAGGCACTGACAATGGGCTGCAGCAAGGGCTGGGAAACTCACGGGTCCCCTAAAAAGGAGGGGCTCAGTGGGGATGTGCCAGTCCCTGCCAGCGTGAGGATGGTCTGGTCTCAGAGGCCTGTGGGTCAGGGATGGCAATGGAGCGTCCACTCTGGAGATTTCCCCAGGGCCTGTGCTGGCAGGAAGTCAAAGAGACAAAAGGACGTCCCTTCCAGTCCTGCCCATGACTCTCCTGTTCTCCCCAGAGTGGTCAACGTGACACCAGTACCAGGGGACCTGCTTCGCGAGAACACTGAGGACGTGCTCCAGGGCGAGCACCTGAGTGACCAGGAGAATGCACCCCCGATCCTGCCTGGGAGGCCGCCAGAGGGCTTGGGCCCTGGTCCCCACCTTGTCCCCCACACTGGGGGTCCTGAGGCTGAAGTGTGGGAGGAGACAGATGTCAACCGCAACAAACTGCGCATCAACATTGGCAAAGTAATTGCATCCAGGCAGAAGGGTGTGGGTAGCCATCCCCATCTGGGTTCCCAGCCCTTGGCCCTATCCTCCCAACCTGCCACCAACCTGCCTCATGTCTCTTTTAAACGTGAGAAAGCCTCTGACCCATAGCCAGCTTGTGAACCCCAACTCACTGTATCCTCTCTTCCACAGACCCCCTGTGTGGAGGAAGAGCAGAGTCGAGGAGTAGGGGTCCCCAGTTCCCCAGTGCGTGCCCCTCCAGACTCCCCAACAACCCCAGTACGGTCTCTACGCTACCGGAGGGTCAACAGCCCAGAGTCAGAGAGACTATCTACAGCAGCTGATGGGCGGGCAGACCTGCATGAGAGGAGGTGAGTTTGTAGACAGGACTCGGGTGACAGAGGCCTTCTGGTCCCATCTGCCCTCATCAGCGTGGCTGGTCCGTGGAAGGTCATCTATGAGGCAGTAGTTAGGGAACTCTAGAAAGCATGGTGAAGGCTGCGCTTGATTTGGGGTCAGTTGGTGGCCTCTGGTAGGACATCCATGGAGGAAAGAATGGGACAGGCCAGTGTCTGGACCCAGGTCGTGGTTCTGCGTGACGTTTTCCTAGACAACAATTCACAGGTGCCCAAAGAGCAGCAGAGGCGGGTTTCCTTTGACCTGCAGGCAGAGAGCCCGAGAGAAGTTTAAGGGACTGCTGGTGGCAGGGTGAGACAGATTTGGGGGCCTAAGAGGTGTGAACCGAGAGCAGAGGGACCCAGCAGAAACGGCTGGTGAGAGGAAGGGTTGCAGGGGGTGCTGAGGGAATTGGCTTTTGGAAGGTGGGATGAGGTAAAGTTGGCCGTGGTGGGTGTAGCTGGCAGGGGTTAGCCAGGCCATCACCTGAGTGGATGGGACACCAGGTGGGGAGCTCCTGGAAGATGAAAGTCACTGATTTTCCTTAGCATCTGAGGACCTTTGCTCCAGAGTAGACCAGGGCCTTCTCTGCACTGGAAAGAGAAAAGAGGCTCTCGGCCCTGCAGGAAGATGGCATCCTTTCTGATGCCCACTCAGTATCTTTCCTGATGACCCACACCAGCCACGGCCCCTCCCCTGGACCTTGCCCTAAACTGTCCCAATCTTCCAGATCGGACACGGTGCCAGTTTGGGGGCTAGACAAACCCAAGACAGGTCTGGGTCCCTCCGTGTGTGACAGCACACACTCGCTTACCTGGGCTGTCCTGCCAGGCACCATCAGAGACCTCATCTTCACCCGTGGCAGCATGGAGTCCCATGGACACGGAGAAGCAAGGAAGGGACATGATGGAGACCAGAGGGCAAGTGTCCCTAGTTTGGAAGAGCTACCGGCTCAGGAGCAGTCGGGGAAACAATGGCAGTTTCCCCCGAGACTGGCAGGAAGGGGTGGGTGAGGAGAGTTTCTGCTACAGAAGGTTCAGGATGCTGCCATAGGGAAGGAGTAGGATGGCTTGGTGGCACTTGGGGCACAAGGGCAGATAAGGCTGGGGTGTCCCAATTCTCACCCTTGTCTTCTAGACACACAGGAACACACACGTGCAGAGCTCACCTCCTGTTTTCTTACCTTCTGTCCTTCCTGTCCCTCAGAACAAACTGTGCTCTCAGGGAATGTGATCATCCACGTGCAGGGAGTTCCAGGGCGGCCTCTGTCAATGATGTTTTGTTTTAAGCCTTACTAACAAATCGATTCAAATACGGTGTAGAATGGGTTATGCGGTGGCCATGCAGGTAGGGCAGGGTCTTTTAGAAAGGCTAATGGGAGTTCTGCTCCGCGCATCTTTCCTCTGCAGCGGAGTCACTGACCCCACATGAGTTAGGCCTGGTGCTTTTCTTGCTGTTCTGGGGCCAGGAGCCAACACTTCTTCCTTACGTAGCATCTTCCTTTACCACACACAACCACACGGTATAAGAGACACCTCCCTTTGGGGCTGCTGCCACACCGAACAGAGACCTTCTGAGTGCTGATCGAGAGTCAAAGGCACAGTTCAGGATGATGACAGAAGTCCCAGCAGGATCTGTGCCCTGAGTTTAGACGTTAGAGGAACCAGGCCCTGCCAGGCGAAGGCCACAGTCTATCTGTAAGGAAGACAGATACACCAGCTGGTCTGAGGTCCATGGTGTGGTGGGGGCTCGGGGTGCCTTGTGGGGACAAGTAACTGCCCGTGTAGGGAAGGGGGACTCACCACAGGAAGTTCTTCAGAGTAAGGTGGGAGAAGAGGATGGAGGCACAGGCCTTTGAGGTGAGGGTGAACTGATAAAGAAAAGCGAGTGAGGCCGGGCAGTGGCTCACGCCTTTAATCCCAGCACTTGGGAGGCAGAGGCAGGTGGATCTCTGTGAGTTCGAGGCCAACCTGGTCTACAAGAGTTAGTTCCAGGACAGGCTCCAAAGCTAGAAAAACGAGTGGATCTGATAGGCCTGGCTAGGGAAAGAGCAAAACGGTTAGGTTGAGAGGCCCTGGGTACAGGCTAAGGAATGCAGACTCAGGTTTGTGGCTAGGGACTGCAAGGCCCAGCCTGCCTGGGGTTATAAAGTGCCAGCTGGGCAGGACCGGAGGGTGTCAGAAGTGGAGCTCGGAGCCATCTGTAAACTCAGGTGTCAGGGTACATATGCCCTGGGTGCAGCAGGAGGGAACCACAGATGGAGCGTAAGTACCTGCTGAGTGTTGGAAAGGCTGGATTCCCCAGAGTAGCCCAGAGGAGATGGATGAGTTCGCTTTCTGCACGCTCATCTTCCTGGAAGATGGTAAGCATTAAGGAATATTTATTTGCTAAATGAATGACAGGTGGATAGGTAAGTGAAGTGTTTCTAGAAAGTGATGTTGATGCAGTCACACAGTCACACTCTTGATGTGACTGCCACTGGCTTGATGTCCTCGGGGCTTCAGAGGCCAGCACTGAGCTCCCTTCGGGTGACTCTTGCAGGTCACGGATGGATTTGCCTGGGTCACCCTCACGACAGGCCTGCTCCTCACAGCCAGCTCAGATGTTGTCAGTGGACACAGGCCATGCGGACAGGCAGGCCAGCGGCCGCATGGACGTGTCAGCCTCCGTGGAGCAGGAGGCCCTGAGCAACGCCTTCCGCTCGGTGCCTCTGGCTGAGGAGGAAGACTTTGACAGCAAGGAATGGGTTATTATTGACAAAGAGACAGAGCTCAAGGACTTCCCTCCTGGGGCCGAGCCGAGCACGTCAGGTACCACGGATGAGGAGCCTGAGGAGCTGCGGCCTTTGCCTGACGAGGGTGAGGAAAGGAGACGCCTAGGGACAGAGCCCACTGTCAGGCCCCGAGGACGTGGCATGCAGACGCTGGCAGAGGAGGACCTGCGGCAGATGCTGCCCCAGCCTGCACCACCTCAGCTTAGCCAGGCTGATGGCCGGTCAGAGACATCCCAGCCACCCACGCCTGGCAGCCTTTCCCACTCTCCCCTGCACTCGGGACCCCGCCCTCGACGGAGAGAGTCGGACCCCACGGGCCCTCAGAGACAGGTAAGACTTGTGTATGACTCTCCTATCCCGAGACCCCTAGAGCCGTGCAGGCAGGCCTAGTGTGTTCCACTGTTGCCCCTCTGGCCTAGGAACCCAGCAGTGACAGGGCCATGGTGGAGACAGACAGGTGTAAGTGGGGACAGACAAGGCTTAAGTTGTGGGCTAAGTCTTATGAGTCCAGCTAGGTGACAAAGCAGGAGAAAGGCCTCCGGAGCCCCGAGGAGAGCATACACAGACCTTGTGGGGGCAGTCTTCAGCACGGTACCGATGAGGATGGGAAGCAGGGCCTAGGGTAACTCATCGAAGGCTTTTAAATAGGAGTATGACACTGTGGTGGCTTTGAGACTTTAGACATCTCTTGGGCTACTTTGTAGTAAGTGAATTGAAAGGGTAAAAGTTTAGAAGCAAGAAGGCCAATGTCTTTAGTAGCCAGAGTACCCTGGTGGCCTAGGCCAGGAAGTAGACTGTGACATGGGGCAAGGCCGATGGAAGGAAGGGCTATGGTGAAGGGCAGGTTGCGGGGTGGAAATATCTCATCAGATGCCTGGTACTCTGAGGGCATGTGTGTGGGTTCAGACTGGACGCAGTCATCTCTCGCTAGCTGAAGGATGGCCATGTTGTGTCATCCATTGCTCAGGAAAGAGATATCACCTGGTCTCATAGGAACCATGGGAGTGGGTGCTGGTACCCAAGAGAACCATGCAGGAGAGGGAGGTCCAAGAGTTGGGGCAGAACCTAAGAAATGCTCTTAGATGCACACTGAGGGACGAGAGAGAGAGGAGTCCTTAATCCTGACCAGGAGGGACCAGAGCAGGGGAGAAGAAATAGGGAGAGAGTTGAGCAAAACCAGGGTGGGAGAGCACTGACGGCAACCCATCGTTCCCAGCAGGGGGATGCTCCAGGGAGGGAAGCGTGATCAAAGCCCTGGGTTCAGTTCCCAGGGCCACATAAAACTAGGGTGTTGTGCACACTCCTGTAATCCCAGGACTTGGGCAGTTGGGGCAGGAAGACTGGAAGGTTAGGGTCATCCTAAGCGAGCTCACAAGAATAGGCATGTTGGGAGCCCTGTCTGGCTGCAGTGGCGCCTCCTCCTCTAGGTGTTTTGAGGCAAGGTCCCACCGTGTAGGCCATGCTGGTTTCCAGTCCTTTGCACGGTCTTCAGCATGTGTGTGATCTTACGGGCCTGCACAATTGTACCTAGTGTAGATGGACAGATTGAAGAAGTATGGAGAGATAAAGGATTTGGAAATGCTGATCTGGGGATCGGAAGCATGCCTCACTGTAGTAATGGTGGGGTGTGAGTGTGTGTGTGTGTGTGTGTGTGTGTGTGTGTCCTTCTAAGGACACCCTGTCAGAACAGGATTGTGAAGCCACCGTCCTGGCCAAGCTCCTCTATGTGGGATGCCAGCTGACCTCTGACTGAGAAGTGACCGTCAGCTCTTGCAACGTCTCAGAGCTTGCAGCTTGTTCCACTTGTGATCTAATGGTGGGGCTGTGTGTGGTGCCTGGGTATAGCCCAGGAGCCGGCTTTGACACTCACTCAGGTTGGGATGGCTGGGTGGACAGGGCAGCTCTGGTCATGTCAGGAGGACTTTTCTAGAAGTGATTCTTTGATCCCCAATCCTGGAGAATATCTATCTGGTCTTGCCTTGTACCCGTATATAGTAATGAGAAACTGGGGACCTTGAGTCCCCACCCACAGAGGCCCTAGCTCCCTGATGTGGAGGCTTCACCCTGGCAGTATGCGGGCTGGTATGATTCAGCCACGACCACTGTTCCCACAAATGGCTCTGGGGAAAGTGGGGGCAAACGAGATGTTCTCAGAACTTCTCACGCCCTGTTCTCCCTCATCAGCACCCCAAACCAAAGGGACTGGCGCAATGGGTGGGGTCCCCAGGAAATGTCAACTTGGTACAAGGTCATAGACAGTGGTCCTGGAGTGGAAGGAAACACGGATAAAAGTCGGCTTTCTGTTCTGTTCCTTCCTGGTCACTGTGGGCCAGCCACTGATTCCTTCCGGTCTCAGAACAAGAGGACCAGGAATCCTTGCAGGTTGCTCTCTCCTGCAGATATTGTGTGCATCCTAGGTGTCGTGCTAATGCTGGGGACTCTTTCAGAACCAGCGACAGGCCTGCTGTGCAGACATGGACAGGAAGTGAACTGTGTCTGTGGGGAAGAGGGGTGTTTGCCAGTCTCGGTTTCCCCATACTATGCAGAATTGAGGTGTCTTAACATTCTACAACTACGTGTGTATTTTTCTGAGCCCCCTGATCTTGAGTGTGCTTTGACGTGTGGATGTGGACATATGTGCACACATCACTGTCTTTGGAACCAGAGCAGGGAGGATAATGACAGAAACGGTGATGATGGCAGCCAGCACGGCACACTGCAAATGCATGTGCAGATTTATGTGACTGGTCCAGTATACACGGTGACCTTGACTTACCAGGTGGGGAAACAGCCTCAAAGCAGTAACCTACAATAAACGAGCAAGCTTTCTGGCCTGCCAATGGTAGAGCCGGGACACGACACCAGGCAGTTGGGTCAGCGTCTCTGTTGGGAACCCTATCTAAGGCATGTGTGTCGAACATGCAGAGTATCAATGCAGGTCAGAGAAGCAGACGGTCTGCGCAGGGTCAGAGTGCCTGGAGCAGTCCAGTGTGTGTGTGTGCGCGCGCGCGCGTGCACGCGGCTGGCACACCAGCTGGCTAGGCTCATTGGCAGATGTGCCTGCATGTGCAGTGTCTTTGGTTGCCTATGGGTGAAACAGATGGAACAGGACATGTTCTGTGTGTATTTCAGGACACCAGGGTGAGGTAAAACCTTTGTTCTCCGAGGCAGAGGGAACAAACCGGACTGGCGTGTGTTTACTTCGTTGTTGTTGGGGGGCATGCTTTGGGCTAGGCTGGGGCTGTATGCTTTGTTACACATTGTGGTAAACCTGTGAGAGTCTTCCCTATTCCTGGATTCTCCGAGGAATCCCTCCGAGACCTGGTGTCGCACATTCAGAGTTGGATGTGTGAACTGTCCCTGTAGAAGTCATTACCACACAAACACAGTAACCTGTCACCAACAGCCGTGGGAGCAGATGTGGAGCTAGGCACTGGGTTGTCCCTTGGTGCGCATAGTGTGGCTATGTGAACGCCTGGCTCCCTTCTCAGGGGGTGGTTCAGGTGCAAATTGGCAGGAGCCAAGGAGATAGCTCAGCTTGGGCAAAGGGAACGTTTGTGTCTTGGTTAGATGTCTGAGGTCAACAGCACAGCACATTAACACTCCTTACACATATAGACATGTGCTGGAAAGCCACCCAAACACTACTGTGTTACAAGCTGGACAGTGTACTGGGCCTGGGGGACAAGGATTAGCAAGGCCTCATTTTCAGTCCTCGGGTCAGAGCTTGCAGTCAAGAGGAATGGGCTGGGAGGACAGGCGGGAAGATACGCACTTACCATCAGGGCCATCAAAAGGATGGAGAATTTTTGTCTGCTCTAGGGCCTTGTGGGGGGAAGCTAGGATGTGCTCACAAAGGTGACTTCATATGGGTATTGAGGACAGATGGGTGGTCACTGTGAGCCTGGAGCAGAGACCATGCTGGGATCCAGCTCCAGCTTCTAAGACCTCTTTGATGGAGAACAAACTCTGATATTGTACTCAAGGCCCCTCATGTGCTCTGAGAGCGGCTGTGGGCGCCTTAGCCCTCTCTCACTGCAAACTAAAAAATAAGGAGCCCAAATTTGGCCACCAGAGAAGCTGACAGAGGGATCAGACTGGTGTGGGGTGGAGCAGATGATGAAGTTAGAATGTTAACCTTGCCTCCTCGCTGAAGGAGGTCTCTCGTGACCCCCTCCCGGCTGACATCAGCAAGGCATACCGGAGCAGGGTGGCTACAGCCCCCTTCCCCTCTCCTCCATCACTCAGTCCTCAGAGCCACCAAGAGAGCCAGGGGTAAGGAGAGGCAAAGTCTGTGGACACCAGGCCACCATGCCCATTCCCGTGTGCCTGGAACGTGTTCCCTGTCCCCCTGGAGACAGGAGGCACAGAGATAGGGTTCCTATGGCCACCACCAACTTTGTAGCTGCCCTATCCCAGCTCAGCAACCTCCGGGGCTGCCATTCTGAGGACTGTCTTCTACGGGCTCCTGAACACACAGTCCCTCACGGCTGTAAGTGCCCTGCATATCTGGTCCTCAAAGCCTAGGAGGTGGCAGCCATTTTGACCCCATCTTAAGGGGAAGACCTTGAGGCACAGAGAACTGAAGTCAAGGGTCACCCAGCTGTGGGTGACAGAGTTGGGGTTAAGACATCTTTGGGTTGATGCCCCGTACCTGTCATGCTGCTGCCTGGAAGGCAGACCCAGGAGGAGTACTAAGAGTTAGAGGCCAGCCTGGGCTAAATAGTGAGTTTTAGGCTAGTGTGGGCTACAGAATGAGACCCTATCTCAAAAACAAAACAAAAACCAAAAAGCTTTCCTGGTAGAGGTTTTGCCTAGCAAGCTCAGGGCCCTAGGTTTGGTCCCCAGGACTGCAAAACAAACAAAACACTCTTTTGACTTCTTGCAAATAAGACGTGAGTATTTGGACGCCAGAGTCCACCCACACTGACCCTGAGACCCCAACACCTCCCATAAGGAGGCTGAGGGTGACAAGGAGGGAGCAGCAGCTGTTTTAAATCTCTTGAGGCGGGTTGGGGGTCATTGCTCATTGACAAAGCACTTGCTTAGCAAGCAGGAGACCCCGACTGAAGCTCCAGCACCACAAATATGTTAAAAATGATCTGGAGGAGTGTGGAATGTGGTTAGGTTAGCGGCCTTGGGTGGGGGCTTGACTAAAAGATGCAACAAAAGGGCCTTCCTGACAGGAAGGTTCCAGCCCAGTGGGAGCCCAGTGCTAGATGGGGCTAAGCCCAGAAGGCTTCCGGGAGGAGGTGAGTGAACGAGGTCTCTCACCCAGAGACCACGCTGTGAAAGGAGGAGGTGGGCAGGGCGCTGGCAGTTCCAAGGCT